CTGCTGAGCCCCGTTCGGTTGCACGCTCACGGCAGATACATTAGCAGTTAGCATTACATTCATTTACATTAACATTAACATAGATTAGCCTAACACGTAGCACAACTAAGTACAGGCAAAGGAGGAACCGATGCTCGACTGTTATTGGAGTACAGAACAAAAAGGGGCGGGGCTTAGGAAGGGTCAATATCCTGCTGACACCAAATCAGTTTATTTTTATGTCATTCATTCAATCTGTTTTATATTATCTCTTCTTCTGCTTCCAGGAATAAAACCCTGCTGAATCATTTATTTATGGGACTATAAATACCCACTCAGTGTTTGTTGTTATATATTTATGCTGCACCCACACACTTAAGAGCTTTATGTTTAATTGTGTGTGTTTGATTTCCTGCTGAAGATATTGACTCTCTGTGCGGTCGGAGAGATAAACGAGCTGCTGGAGGTCGTCGACCCCCCAGAAACAAACAACCTCAGAGCCTAGAAAATATAATTATATTATTTCTGCTTCAAGTCTTTACGACTCCGCCTCCTGTAACAGGATGTGAGCGCTGATCCTCTGCAGAGGATCACAGCTGAAGCTCCAGGCTCGCTGTCTGCAGACCAGTGTTCACACTGCGAGGGCAGTTAATTCCCCCCCGCTGAGGTCAACACACTCACAGCAGGGAGATAAAAACACAAATTATACAACAGGGAATCAAACTTTTGGGAAGTTGTTGGTTAAATGTTACAGGTCATATTTTTTGGTGGGTTCTGCCTTAGTGCCTGACTCCATTTGTCAAAATCTATTTTTATAAGTTCTTTGTTTCACTGATGTGTTTAAATGTTGTATTTGTAAAGGATACTGCACAACGTTATCAGGAATTAACTGTTATTGGAGCTCAGAGCAAAAAGGGGCGGGGCTTAGGAAGGGTCAGTTCCTGATTATCGACATTATCCCGCCAAAATAAAGGCCATTCATTTATATTTCAATGCGTTTATGATCAACATCTAAAGTTTTTCACAAGGCACTGGAGTGTGTTAGCCTGTAGCAGCGGATCTGGACCCAGGTGGTCTTCCAGCAGCGAGGGGTTAACGGGGTCCAGCGGCTCACACATTCAGGTCTACCTGCTGAACCTGTCTCTCTCCCTCTCTCCCTCTCTCTCTCTGGATGCGTCTTTCAGGAGCGGCGGTTCAAACTCCGGCTCTACCGGATGAGCCTCAGCGCACCAAGAGACAGGCCATCTCTGCAGAGCCGACAGCGCTGGACCCGTCGCAGCTCACCGACGTCACCCTCACCAGCTACTGCAAGACCAAAGAGTGAGCCCACACACACACACACACACACACACACACACACACACACACACACACACACACACACACACACACACACACACACACCTGGATGCACCTTGTTGACCCGTCTGTGTGTGCGTAGGTCCAGTGAGCTGATCCAAAGAGCTCTGATGGACAACGACTTCATGAAACATCTGGAACACGGGCAGGTAGAGGCACATCTGTGAGCGTCGTCCGTCTCCTGTGAGTGATTGTTTGAACTGAAACGTCTGTCGGCTCTCGTGTGCAGATCCTCACCATCATGGACTGTATGCGTCCCACCAGCCTCACCAAGGGCTGCTGCGTCATCCAGGAGGGAGACGACGGCTCCACAGTCTACGTTCTGGAGGGTGAGGCCGCTCAGCGCTCATAAATATCTCAGCATAAATCTTTTAGTCTGAATATAAAGTCCAAAGTGACGTCTTCAAACGTCCAAAACTATAAAAAAAAAATGTAGGTGCCACAAACAGATTGTGGCGTCAACTGACCCTTCCTAAGCCCCGCCCCTTTTTACCCTGTACTCCAATAACAGTTGAGCAAGATATGCTATGCTAGGCTAATGTTAAAGATAAAAGCACATTTTAAAGTTGGTTAAAAGATAAAAGTGACATGTTAAGTTAGCTAATGTTAGCAACATGCTAGCTCATTTCACAAAGGTTACGATGCTCCAGTGGATGTGCTGTTCTACAGTCAGTTAGTTAACTAGTGTTTACAAATTAATTCTTTAATTAAAATTATAATAAGATACAATTTCTTAAAACATTATAATAAAATAAAGTTTAAACTAGAATTATTTCTATTCTTTTTTAATTAAAAATGTCCTTATTGTTAATGTGTAACTGCAAACAAATTCATCTTGCATCTCAGCAAAAAATATCAAATTAAATCTTCATTCTTTTATATCCAATGTTTGACAGTAACAGTATAAAAGTCTTAAAAATAATAATTACTGACATAAATTCTCTTTTTAAAATTCATTTTATTAATTTAAATCTTTTATTTGTTTATTTAAACTAAATTAAAGTTAAAAGCAAACACAGGACATAAAAAGGACAGTTGATAATATAGCAGATGTACAACTGTCCTCTCTCCCGGCTGAAGTCTGTCTGCTCAGTGGGATGAAAGTAATCACAGTTAGATATTGAACTGGACCGATGTGGACCGATGTGGACCGATGTGGACTGATGTGGACTGACAGCCTGTCTGACAGTAAACAGGCTCCACTATGTGACACACAGGAAAATGGTGGAGGTGATATCACGGTGAGCTCATCGTCTGGGAGGCACACACACACACACACACACACACACACTCACTCACACAATCACACACACACACACACACACACACACACACACACACACACACGCACTGTCAAACTCTGCTCATTGTTCGCTCTCAAGGACGGAGCTGAGGTTCTGTTTACTCTCCTCCAGCTCTGAACAGTCTCTCCCCTTCCTTGTTCAGTCACATGTATAGGATGATACAGGATGATACAGGATGGTATAAGATGATCAAGGATGGTACAGGATGATACAGGATGATACAGGATGGTATAAGATGATACAGGATGATACAGGATGGTATAAGATGATATAGGGTGATACAGGATGGTACAAGATGATACAGGATGATACAGGATGGTATAAGATGGTATACAGGATGATACAGGATGGTTAAGATGATACAGGATGATACAGGATGGTATAAGATGATACAGGATGATACAGGATGGTATAAGATGATATAGGGCGATACAGGATGGTACAAGATGATACAGGATGATACAGGATGGTATAAGATGATACAGGATGATACAGGATGGTATAAGATGATACAGGATGATACAGGATGGTACAAGATGATACAGGATGATACAGGATGGTACAGGATGATACAGGATGGTACAAGATGATACAGGATGGTATAAGATGATAAAGGATGATACAGGATGATACAGGATGGTATAAGATGATAAAGGATGATACAGGATGGTACAAGATGAAACAGGATGGTACAGGATAGATGGTATAGGATGGTACAGGATGGTACAGGATGACATAGGATGTACTGAGGTCAAGAGCCGCTGCCCAACAATGCTGCGAGATTCAGACTTTGCTACAGAATCGACTAACTCGTTTTATTCTGAAGGGAAGGAAATTGAACTTGATGCTGATAACACTGATTAATAATTAGCAATGAAAAAAATGCATAAACAGACGTTGTTAGCAGAATAAAAAATGTATGACTTTGTGTTAAATAATTTGTATAATTTTTATTAAAACAATTCTAAAACTAAACATCTGCTTCATTTCCAACACTGATGACTTTCTCTTAAACAAGTTTGGAGTGCTCTTACTCTGAAAATAAGGACAATAATCTTCTCTGTTGGGATATTAAACAACCATTAATGTTACTGGTTCAATCAAACTCGATATCAGCTGTAAGATCTTATTAAGACATTTTATTATTTATATATATATTAGTGTATATAATTATTATAATTACTGCTTCATGTGTTCACAGAGGGAATGGTTGAGGTGACGAAACAATCAAAGACTCTCTGCACCATCGGTCCAGGAAAGGTGTTTGGAGAGCTGGCAATCCTTTACAACTGCACTCGTACAGCAACAGTAACAGGTAACACACACACACACACACACACACACACACACACACACACACACACACACTGACGCTGTGAAAAAGCTTCTTTTATTCATCAAACTGACGAAGGTCAAACAGTCGTGTGATTCTTCCCTCTGATTAATAAATTCCTCCTCGCTGATGTTTCACCTGTGGAGCTTTTTAAAAGGTCGTTTCACTCAAACATTCATAAAAGAAAAACATGTTTCTATCACTGATTTCTCGCTTTTAGAAAGTCGTGTTGCTGTTTTTGTATCAAAATATCTGAAATCTCAAAGTAAGAGTAAAAACAACTGAAACTATCAGCAAGGTTCGATGCTACCAGTCACAGTGCTAATGTTAGGATATGAACCAGAGAGCTTTTCTGGATATAAACTTTAATTTCTGTCACTTTGCATCCAGTTCCTTTAAGCTTTCTGTTGATGTGTTACAATCTGCACGTTCACTGACAGTCGAGCGTCAGACGATTAAAGTCGGCTTTAAACGCGACGTCGGACTGATTCCTGTGTGTCACTGCGATGTGCTGGAGGGACGCCGACTGATACAACTGTGTGTTTGACTGACTGTTTACAACGCTGTCGTTCTGGCTGCTATTAAAACCACCCCAGTTCACCTTTTCTCTCCTCTGTGAGCGTCTTTCAATCAGCGTCCTTGTGTCATTCACTGAGAGAGAGAGAGAGAGAGAGCAGCTTTAATGTGTTTATATGAACGTGTGATCAAATGACCTTGTGTGAAATGAAAGAACCTAGCAACTATAAAGAAATCTCTACGGAGCATTTTTGTGTCTTTCAGCTCATTGTTTTGGTTTTTCCGGGACAAAACTTTAATGTTTTTAATCCCAAACAGCAGACAGATTAGATTGATTTGATTTAGCAGCTAAAAGAGAATCAATACTTTCATTCATCAGGTGACACAAACACGACTGTAAATGAACGATAATGTTACTCTGACACTGTAAATAGACACGAGCAGCTTAAAACTCAGTCTGGTTATAACGTTATTTATGCATTATTAAAATAAAAGCACCACAGAGATAAAGTTACAACTCTAAGTATAAACTCAATCGATACACACGTCGCTAACAGTTGAGGATTGATTGACGAGTGAATGTCAGAATATTATTGGTTGAAATCAGTTAGTTCATGCTGACATAAACACGCGTCACATTTAGTTTTACAGGAAGACACAATGATTGGATTCTGATATAAAAATACAAATAAATTGATATTTTATTTATTCATTTTGGCATAAATTGTTGAATATGGGATCCATATAACCGAGGATGTGATCTTAAAGGGATTCACCTGGACTTTAACTATAACTGTCCTCCAGTAGAGCCTGACTCTGTTCATTAAACAGGGTACAAACAACAAATTGAACGTAACTTTGTCCCTTAATTTACCTACCCAGGAGCAGTGCTCTGTCAGCTACATGTTCAGATCTGGTTTCTCCATATTTGTCTTTAAACAACTCATTCACAGGTTTGGACCCCAGAGAGAAGCAGCAGCCGGTCCCGTGTTCACAGGTCGCTCAGTCAGCTGAATATTAAATGTGAAATAAAAAGCTCTGAATTTGCAACTTTACTGGAAAATCAAAGACTCTAAAGCTCTAAATGGAAATACGATCATTCGCTGGCTGAATTTAACAATAACTCCTGAACTGGTGGGAGGCCTCTCGCTGGTTGAATCTCTCTCCAAAGGGGGGGGGGCACAAATTGATGGAGAGCTCCTTTAAATTGTAAACTGAAGCTGTAGGATGAGCCTGTATGAGGAGCTCTTCACGCGCTGCACCGCCGTACACATTACGGGGTGAGTGGAGGACGAGTGTGGAGGAGAGAGGGCAGGAGTGATGGCTTCACATGTACATAAACATGATGGATGTTACCATAGCAACACAGCAAGGAAATTCAATTCAAAACTCGTAGAAACCAGTTAGAGAAAACACTTTATCTATATTGATCAGTATACACTGTATCTTTATGGATGATATTGATCAGTATACACTGTATCTTTATGGATGATATTGATCAGTATACACTGTATCTTTATGGATTATTGATCAGTATACACTGTATCTTTATGGATGATATTGATCAGTATACACTGTATCTGTATGGATGATATTGATCAGTATACACTGTATCTTTATGGATGATATTGATCCTGTATTGACAGTCAGACTGTGGACATATGACGGCCTTTAGCTCGTGTTTCTAGAGTTACGTGTTGTTACGAACACGTTAGGAATTGTTAAAATGTGATATTTCTTAAAGGGAGTTTGGTGCAGGGAGCTTTTAGTTGGATTCAAACTGCTGATATGGATCATTGTTAACGTTTAGTCTCCACTACAGAAACACTAGCTAACTGCTAAAGGCTGATCAGGTTGTCTGATGGTATTAATTTGATTGATGCTTTAATAATGTGAGTATTGATTGCTGACACTAGCTGATCAGGATCATTATCAGCTGATTTGTGTTTGTGATTTGATACTGCGGTATCCAGGTCAGCCAAGGGGAAATAGAGAGAATGAATCATCAACAGAATATCTCATCGATTCAGTCCCTCCAGGAAGTTGTGTCCGCAACATTTAACACAACTTCATCCAATAAATGAGAATCACCACAACTTGGCGTTGACGTTAACATTGAACCACACGTCACCAAACTCACTTCCTAGTTTGTAGCTGTGAAGATGCAGACGTGTGAGACGCCAGCGTCTCTCATTTACCAACAAAAACTACTGCTAACACGATTCCCTGATCTCAAAAGCGTCTCACATTTACCCTCCAAACAGTGCGATTTTATTCTCACTGGCACAAGTTGCCTTTTAATTTCTAAAGACAATCTTTGCAATTGTAATTTTCTCCCACAGTTCTATTGCAAAAAAAAAAAGCCTAAAAACATCAACATCAGGCATTTGAGGCAGCAACAATCCCCCAAAAGCCCACAAAATTCTGAATGGGGCCATCATTTACTGAATGGACATCAGGCTGTATGGAGGAAGACTGAAAGTAGAGACTGAGACCAGAAACTCATCAGGAAACTGTGTGAAGTCGTCTCATTCTCCATAAGACTGCCCCCTGCTGGTCAGTAGAGAGAATCCAGGTTTAAGACACTTTGCAGACCCGGATCAAAGGTGTTCATACAGGTCTTGATCTCAGTTAGAGTGTCACAATAAAGCAGTTAAATAACTGTATGTCCTGTTAAGTATTGATGACATTTTTCAATCAATTATTGATCATTTGTTGTCTCTGATCACCTTTAATGATTAAAAACAGCTGGAAATAAGGTTGAACATTGAAGGTTCCTCCTGTTAAGCTCACAGTCTATAGATTCAAACCTTAATGTGAAGCTGAATTATTAAAACATATAACAACACAACTTTCTGTCCGTCTGCAGCGCTGACGGACATCAAGCTCTGGGCGATTGACCGACAGGGTTTCCAGACCATCATGATGAGGACTGGTTTCATCAAACACTCCCAGTACACTGACCTCCTCCGCAGGTACAGCTCTCTACACTCGCTCTCCACTCCAACTGTTTGAAGCTCTCCCCACATGAGCGTGACTCACACCTCTCGCTGTAAACTCTTCCCCGCAGCGTTCCCTCCTTCCAGTCGCTACCTGAGGACATTCTCAGCAAACTGGCTGATGTTTTGGAGGAGGTGACACTTTGTCTATTATAAGCACTCAGTATCAGTTTCTGCCATCTGTTCTTTCCGTCTGACAAACACAAATGGTTCAGAAACATTGTGTTCAGAGATCTGAGGTATTGTGTGTGCACATGATTCACATCTCTCTCTCCGCTCTTCCTCAGACTCATTACAGCGACTCTGATTATATTATCCGTCAGGGAGCCTCCGGTGACACATTCTTCATCATCAGCGAAGGACAGGTGAGGAAGAGCGATGACGGGAGAATGGAGGACTTGTTAGGAGGTGAAAAGAGGGCAATTAATAGAGAGAGGCTGAGGAATAATGGAGACTCACTGCTGGAGCCAGCCTCTAGTGGATCTATATATTCCACATGCTTCAACTTTGGAGTTTGTCTTGGACTAATGTTAGATAATGTTGCACATTAGTGGTTTGTGAACATTAGCAATGAGCTAGCTATGTGAAGCAACCGACTGCAGCGTTGTGCCAAAGACAGACAAATAAAGTTCACTCTACTCAAACCTGCAGTACCACACAATGACATAAACATGGCGACCTAAAACCTAAAAGAGGTTGTGATCCGTCCGCAGGTTAAAGTCTCTCAGCAGAACTCGGCCAACGACGAGCAGCTGACTGTGAAGTCTCTCTCTAAAGGGGACTGGTTCGGAGAGCAGGCTCTGAAAGGGTGAAACACTCACACACACATCACAAGAAGTCACTGAGGATTATATTTAAAGGATCAGTCGGCTCAACGTCGGCCCCTCTGCCCCGAGGCTGATTATCAGAGTTAATATCTGTGAATATAAACTGTGAGCAGGTCTTCAAAGTTAAAGTTAAAATAACAATTTCATTTAGTTTTCTTCACAGAAATGAAGGAAATGCCGATATATCTGCCTAATGTGTATGTTTTTAAAGACCTTGTGAGCCCCCAGAAGGATTTGACTTTTGACATTATCTCATTATCTATCAAAAGACATCTGAAAGTCTAATTAGCAAAGATTCCTCACACTTCATGGATCTGAATATAATGCATTTCATCTGGTATCAATCTCACAAACTGATTTCTGTCTGCAGGGAGGACGTTCGCACAGCCAGCGTCACTGCCGTGGGAGACGTCACATGTCTGGTCATCGACAGGGAGTGAGTGAGGGTCTTTGTTGACCAGAAACATCGGTTTTTATACGGTGGTGAAGTCTGGCGGCTCGCTTTGCTCTCGCTCTTTAAAAGGCATCTTTGTGTTGCTTGTGTGTTTGTCTCAGGTTGTTTAAACAGCTGATCGAAGGACTCGATGATGTCAACAACAAGCAGTACGACAGCAATGAGGTCAATGCAAAGTGAGTATTATGAGAAACTATCTGTGGATTGAGTCACTTCTACGTCAAACTGAGATCTTACAAGGTCAAACACTTCCAACACGACTCAAGAGACGTAGTGTTAGTTCAGGTTCAGTTATTGTGTGGCAGTCCTTCCCATTAATTACCAAGACTCTTAGTTTTATAACAAACCAAAACTATCCTTACACCGTTGGTTCAGTAAAGAATGTTTCACTCACAGTACAAATAACTGTGATCGACTGACTCGTGGTCAATCTGCCGTCGCACATTACTGTAGAGAAAAGAAAGGTGATTAAAGTAGTTTAGAGAGTTAAGATACACACCTTATAAAGGGAAATATAGCTTCATCTTTCAAATATTTTCCATAGATTAATTAACAGCCCTTCAAAGTCACAGAGAGCACAGAGGAGAAAAAAGGTTGCGATCTAGAGCCAGTGTTTGGTTTGTCCGTTCTGCGCTACTGTAGACTGCGCCGACTCAGTGGTGTTTGTATTTGACTACCGCCGCCTGCTGGTATGGAGACTTATTACTCTGGTTGGACGTCTGCTGTAGTCGGTGATGTTTGTTCTAGTGTCAGACACAGGCGACGTGAGGCGACGCAACAGTGCAATGTTTTCACCGCTAGTTGGCGTCGATTTGGCGCGTCAGGGCCTTTAAAGGATAAAGCTTGTGATAGTTTATATTTTAGTTGCAGCTGATGAATCCCACGTGTCCTGTACTGCCTGAAACCTTCTCGCTTTGACTCATTTCTTCCTCCTTCCTTATGTGACCTCCGCTGTTTGCTGTAGACTGCAGATGGAGACAGATTTCTTCTCCAGCGTGTCACTCAGTGATTTCAACATCATATGCACTCTGGGGATGGGAGGCTTCAGTCGAGTGGAGCTGGTGAGTGGAGCTGCTGATAATGTTGCGGACACGCTGTGTTACTGTCCATCTGTACCGAATGTGTGTGTGCTGGTGTGTTCAGGTGCAGTTAAAAAATGACGCCAGCCGATCGTTTGCCCTCAAAGTGCTGAAGAAGCGTCACATCCTGGACACCAGCCAGCAGGGCCACATCCTGTCCGAGCGCCGCATCATGATGGAGGCTCACAGTCCGTTCATCATCAGGTCGGACAACGTTTTTATGTTCCCGAGGATTTATAATTGTAATTAAAAGTACTTTAGAGCATCTAAATGGTGGAAAGAGGTGTCTTCTTCTTTGGTGTTCAGTGGTGGAACTACTTCATACTCATCCAGAGGGAAATATTGAAATTTTTATTCCACTACATTTATCTGACAGCTTTAGTTACTTTACAAATTAATATTTCTTCACACAGTTCAAACAAGTATAGCTGAAACAATTAGTCGGTTAATCAGTCGAGCAGTTTCCTCCTCTGTGTTTTATATTAAGAGCCACAAAGCAGCCATTTTATAATCTGTCTGTCAAAACTTTAGTTTCTCTTCTTTGAATCTGTATCTTTTTAGGTCTTAAAGTTTCCATATGTGAGATTTTGATGACTTTTACGTCTTATTTTTATGTATTAATCACTTTTTATTGCCAATGAGTGAACTGATTGTAACGTAACTTAACAAATGAGATTTTCCCCGACTTTCTTGGCCGCCTGTGGACTGATATAGGCTCCAAGCTTGTGGAAGACACTGAAGATATTGTCTGGTTATCTGATAGTGTTTGCCGCTGTTGACCTTCCTTTATATGTGACGTTTGAACCTTTTCTGTCTCCCTGCAGGTTGTATCGAACCTTCAGAGACTCCAAATATCTCTACATGCTGCTGGAGGCTTGCCTTGGAGGAGAACTGTGGACGCTGCTGCGAGACAGGGGCTCGTTTGATGACGGCATCACTCGGTTCTACACCGGCTGCGTCATCGAGGCTCTGGCGTTCCTGCACTCCAGAGGAATCATCTACAGAGACCTCAAACCTGAGAACATCATCCTGGACCACCGAGGATACGCCAAGCTGGTGTGGAAACTGATATAACGATTGGGGTCTGAGGTTTCTCTAAGAAAACATTCATAATGTGAGTTTCTTTTCCAGGTGGACTTTGGCTTTGCTAAGAAGGTGGGTCTGGGGAAGAAGACGTGGACGTTCTGTGGGACTCCGGAGTACGTCGCCCCTGAGATCATCCTGAACAAAGGCCACGACAGTTCAGCTGACTGCTGGTCGCTGGGAATACTGGTGTTTGAGCTGCTCAGTGGCAGGTACATCAGGATCCATTAACACATTCCCAGCACCAGAACATGCTTTTCATCACATTTGTAACAAACATCAGACGGTTCTTTATGTCACAGGTTTGGTTCCACGACAGAGCTGCACACAGAAACCCATCTGAGTACCTGCACGCTTTCTGAAAACAAATTCAAAGGTTAAAGGTTGCCAGTGGAAGTCGCAGTACAGCACCAACATCTCCAACCAAATCAATGTGAAAAACTCTATGTTAGGCTTTCCAACAATCACCAACAACAAATCCTTAATTCACAGAGTTAGATAAATATTCATGAAAATGGCTGTAATAGCTGCACTGTACGCTAACGTAAGTCCTTGGGGATGAATGCAGCGTCTACTAAAAGCTTGTTTTTGCCACTGACAGGCTCAGATTTTTATTCTCACCCCCAAATTCCACCGAGGATCGCTGTTGTTTCACGTAAGAGAGCACAGAGCAGATCACACTGGCAGGAAGTCAGACACAGAAACAGCACAGAGAATCTGGTAAATGTTCAAAATACATCAACACTGTGGCAGCAGTCAGTCAGTCAGTCAGTCAGAGGAGATTGTGCAGAAACACAATGTTTTGTTTCCTCTTCAAGGACAAAAAACAACGTCCACAGGCGAATCTCTCCGCTCCTGGAAGCTCTCATCGGGATTCGTAGAGCGACGTTCCCTACAGAGACACAGAAACAGCCGTGATATCGCTCTCTACCAGACTCCATAAATCAGTCATTTGTTGAATAAATTATGTTGGTTCCCGCTCTCTGTCTCTGTCTCTGTCTCCAGTCCTCCTTTTTCAGGCTCTGATCCCATGAAGACATACAACATCATCCTGAGAGGCATCGACATGATCGAGTTTCCCAAGAAGATCACCAAGAGCGCCGCTAACCTCATCAAACGACTGTGCAGGTTGTAAATCCAGCTGAACTGCGCAGATAAATGGAGGTCTGACTGTCCTTGAGTCCGTCTGTACAACCTGTGTGTGTGTGTGTGTGTGTGTGTGTGTGTGTGTGTGTGTGTGTGTGTGTGTGGCAGGGACAACCCGTCGGAGCGGCTCGGAAACCAGAAGAACGGCGTGAAAGATATCCAGAAACACAAGTGAGACAGCGAAGATGTTTACCTCCAGATGTCACTCAGTGTTTTCTGACTGTAGTCATGGCAACGTGTCTTTGTCCTTTCAGGTGGTTCGAGGGCTTCAACTGGGACGGCCTCCGGCAGGGAACCATCGGCTCTCCGTTCACCCCCGCGGTGGGTATATCCTGCAGTGTGTCGGAGCTCGGAGCTCACAGCTCGCAGACTGCAGCGTTAACGTCCCGCTTTCTGCCCTCAGGTGAACGGACCGCTGGACAACAGCAACTTTGACTATTTCCCAGAGGACGTAGACGACCCTCCTCCCGACGAAGAGTCCGGTTGGGACCTTGAGTTTTAGCAGGAAGCGATTAAAGTGAAGGAAACGAGGAAGTGAAGCCATAAATGGAAGAGTTTTTATTTCTTATGAATGTTTGTACTGAAAGTCTCAGAGCAAAATGAATATCGAATACAGCCGATAAAACAATTATTATATATTAGTATCAGGACCAGTGTGAAGAAAAAAAGAATAAAATCCAAATATTAAAAAACAAAAGTGTATTAACTTTGAGTAAAAAGTCACAATATTAAATAGTAATATAATTTACAAGAATAAATTATAATATGTTAAGAATAATCAAGATAGAAACTGATTTGAGACAAAAGTAATGATATCTCTAAAATAAAGTCTAATATTTAGAGAGTAAAATCGTACTAAAATATCTCAAAAACAAAGTTATACATTTTATGAAAAACTGAAATATGTAGATAAATATTCAGAAAACACGTCACAATTTTACAAAAGAAGTTTTAATTGGTTGGGAATGTTTTCTATTTTGTTAAAGAAAGTCGTCTATTTTTAATATTTTTACTTTATTTTGAAAATCTGTGTCCATTATTGTCATTATAGTTATTTTAAACCACAAAACCTTGAGCAGGCTCTTCCAGTTATCCAGTTATTCAGTTTCAGGGTCCGTCTAATGCAGAAAGAAAAGAGTTACTGTGAGTATTATTGATGCAGTGTTATTATATTCGATTGATCAGGATCTGACACATTCAGTGTTCGCTCTGAGCTTCTTTTCATTCTTGTATTTTAATCTCTACTCGGTGCCTTAAACACATTTCAGCATTTCCTTCTGAGTGAGATCAAAATCAATTCACACTGACTGAGCATCGTGCTGCCTTCAGGTACCAGGCCTGCTGGGACACCAGACATACGTCAGAGCTGATTGAGTATATGAGCGATGGAACCGCGGGGTGAATACGACGGGGACGGCTCGGCTTTAAAATCCCCAAGTTACTGAGATGTTACATTTATGAGCAGAGGGAAGGAAGATCTGATCAGCAGCCGACAGTTAAAGGATGTTTTATTTCTTCACTTTAACGCCGTCACTGTTTCCTCCAGTGAGACACATTCTCACTTTGAGTTTATCAGGTATTTTATTAAACTCCTCAAACAGTTTAAACCTCCTCTCTGATTAAAACCACTAAACACACTGAATAAAGCAGTTCCACCTTAACAATCACTGCTTCTCCCACGCTGTTGGACAGACAAAGGACGTCCCGGAGGGGCTGCGAGCCGAGCTGCTGCTAACGTTAGCTCAGCTTGTTTCTCTGATAACTTAAGATCCAGACGTCCGATGACCAAAATCCTTCATCCGGTTCAAATCTAGAGTTAAAAAGCACCAAGATCTAAACAGTGGATGGTAACAATGTGGCTTCACACTGGATCAACAGTCAATGTATGACAGCTCCTCTTTTTACATTAAATAAGTTGACTTTATTTTGAAAATCAGACTTTTCCTCCTATATTCCCTTTTATTGAATATCCCAACAGAGACTTTATAAGGTTTCACATTGTCAGTGAGCTTCTTCTTGTTTCCTGTTTCATTTGTGGAATTTAAAGCTGCATTTGTTCCCATTTTTGGACAGTTTTCTTCCTTTTGTGTCTTTGTGTTAAACTTCAGGACAGAAATATTGTAAAACCTGATGAGTTAGTTGTTTCCATTTAAATTTATTAACTCGAACGATTGAAGCATGAAAGATGTTTGATTTGAGTAAAAGTAACTCAAGTATTTATAGTTAATGTAACTTCAGTAAATTTAATTAATTCCATTTAACTGAACAACTGAGTTGATTCAACAATTCATCTTTGAGTTTAATTAATGTGAATGAGTGACTCCAAGTTTTTTTTAGGATTAATTTATGTTTTATTAATATGTGTTATCAGGTTTTACATTGCGGTTTAAATCGTATTTATAAAATATTTGTGTTATATTTTGCTGAGACGCTGTCGGCCTTTGTGTGTTTGTGTGTTTGTGTGTTTGAATCAGGGAATTAATTAAAGATTAAAGTTACCTGGGAATAACCGGAGCTCCTTTAACGAGCCTTTAGAGGTGATTGTTCTTCCACTCTGGTTGGTTTGAGTGCTGCAGGCGGAGTTAATGAAAACTGAAGCGTGAGCGGCGGCGAGATGTTTATCAGCCCGTTGACCTCCGGGCGAGGGTCAGCGCTTCCTGCAGTGAACCCGGTGAACACGATGGAAACGCGGCCGCCTCCTCTAACGACTCTCTCACAGTTTACTGATAACGAACGCTCGGATGAGAAACACTTTCCACATTTCCTACAAACGACACGACGACACTTTAAAACCAGAGTCGTTAATTTAACTCAAAATATTGTTGAAACTGATTCAATTAAATATTTTAGGTAAAACGAACTCAGTTAAAAAAAACATTCTTTACTCATTTTAAGTGACAGTGATTTAATTTAGTAGTTTTTATTTGTCCTGTAAAAACAAAAGTAAAAAGTATTTAATCAGGAATATTTCTGTAACTTAAAAAACTAAATTAGTGTCACTTTATAATTTATTTATTTATTTTACAAAATTGAGTTTATGTAATTTAAAATGTTTGAACTTTGTACTGGAGCCAACGTTAGCTTAACTGTAGCTACAGGCAGACTTTTATTCACTTATTGACCTTTGACCTTTGTTCAGGATTGACTCCTTCAAACTAAAAACTTTACACTGTAAAAATGTGAAATGTTTAAAAAATAAAAAATTTAAGTCAATAAAAAAATTTTTACTTTTACAGAATTAAACTTAATTTCTTAAAGGAAAAGTTTCTATAACTGTTGACAATAAAATTAATTAAAATATGTAATATCTGCTCACAGCTACATTATAAACCAATTATTAATTAATATTATCTGTTTATTTATTTAAATATTTTTATATTTTTGTCAATAAATTGAATCTATGCTGCTCGTTGTCTTCAGTGTGTTCCTGTTTGTTTTTATATTTATTTATTTGTAATAAATCTAAGTATTTATTTTTCTGCTGTTTGTCAGTGTGTATTCAATGCCTGCGATCCTAATCAATAATCAATAAAGTTTAAGGTGTAAACTGGCTGTGTGTGTGCGTGGAAACCAACAGAAGAGTATTGAAATAAGAGCTCCACAATATGGTGGAAACAGATATTTAATCAATATATGAATCAGAACTTCATTAAAATTCTGTGTATAACATTTTACCTTCATCAGAAAGTGAAATATTTTTTATTTTAATCACATTCTGAACTTTCTGCTGATTTCATATAAAAACAGACTTTAATGTGTTTGAGGTGAATTATTGATTACTTTATTGACGTTTTCATTGAGACTCAAATAATATTCAGTTAGCACAGAAATAAAGAAATTAAAGTAATTCTACTTTAATAAAGGATCAGTGTGTTCTGTGATTCGGACGTTGTAATTGATTATTGATTATGTTTATAAAAAAAAAAAAAAAAAATAAAAAATTTCCATTAACTGTGCAGAGTCTCTTAATCAACTTCAGGAGAAAATCTGCTCTAAGACAGACAAAATGTATTTTTAATCTTTACGAACAATAATCATTATTAAGTTCATTATTAAGTTTATTGACAAGTGACAATGGATGAGTTTATTCATACTGAGTGGAATCAATTACTGTCACTAATTAAACAACAGTTGTAGATTCTGATACAGTTTAAATAGTTTTTATCGAAGCGTATTGATCTGTATTATATTTGCTGCTGATTAAATTACTGTTTATATGTAAGAACATTACATATGTTCATTATGTAATATTATTACTTTCACTTACCTCAGATTCACATCATCACAGGAGAATGTCGTACTTATTTTATATTATAAAATAATAATAATAATAATAATAATAATAATAACTTTATTTATATCGCAAAACAGATGAAATGATCACCCTGATGAACCAAATCTAATTAAATATTAAAATAAAGAATAAATACAATAATAAGAGCAGAATAGAAACTGTGAAAGTAAAATATAAAATAAAGTCTGTAAAAATGTGTTTTATGAACAAATCAATCTAATCTAAGATTCATTTATCTTGAATAACTGTGTGCTTTTATTTTGAAACATAAAGCACATTAAAGGCTTTAACATTATATTTTATTTTATTTTCAACAAAGTGAGCTCTGTAATAAATATAATTACTCATAATACATAAAGTTATATCATTTAAACCAAGTATATTTAAGTTTATACCTTAAATAAAAGCCTGTATTTTAGTAATTAACGGACAAAGATGGCGGATAATGTTTGTTGTGGACCTGCTGTCTCTCAGTAAAAACTGTTTCTGCTCGACTGAACCAGTTCACAGGAAAAACCAACAGACGTGACTGGAATCAGAAAGTCTTCCTGTTTCCTTCTGCTGCTGCTATTTATAGAAAGTTACACATTATAACAGATTTAAAGCAGAATAACCACATTAATGAGAATTCTCCATCACAACAAACTGTTTATTATTATTATATTATATTTATTATCTGGACTCAATCTGACTTTATGGGCTTTTTAATGGGCTTTTATTTATTTATTCTTTATTATTTCTGCTGCAGTTGTTTTTAAAATGAGTTCACTGCTGCTGGGAAACTGAATCTTTGTGGTTTGAGTGGAAACAGCCAATTATCTGTGTGGGTTAATTACCTCCATGAATAAACCATTAACGGGGAGCGGCGCGCTCTCTGATTGGTCGGCGCCCAGAGGACCGGATAGAAATACCGGGTGGGGACGGTGAGGACTTACAGGAACCCGAACCAGAACAACCTTCATCATCCACCTCAAAGCGGGACTCAACATGCAGCCTGGATCCGCTCTGCTCCTCCTGCTCCTCGGCCTCAGCGCCGCCGCCTGCTTCGAGCTGCTGCCGGAGGAAGCTGCTCCCCGCCGGGCACGATTCTCCTCCAACAGCCCGAGTGAGTCCCGGTTCTGGTTCTCAGAACTTCTGTTGGTTGGACTGTAACTAAGTACTTTTACTTCAGTACTTGTTAGGGATCGATATATGTCTTTTATTTAGGGCTGATACAGATATTGATTATTGATTATTAGTGAGGAAACTGATGCACATTTGCAGTAAAATGAAAATATTAATGTCCAAATATAAAATAATCAGCAGTAAAGTGAATATTTACTCTGGTACTGTAATTTATCTTTAGTTACCTGTCAAGGATCGATACAGATATTGATTATTACCAATGAAGAAAAACTGGTGTAGATCTTTTACTTTTAACACATTTATTTGATAACTTTAGTTACTTTGTTGTATTAATATATATTAATTAATATTATCATGAATATTTATTTATTTATTAATACAAAATATAAATCAGCTAATACATTATGATGCATTATTATAGATTAATCTACCCAGCAATATAAAGTGATCAAACATCTGCACATTAACCTCTAAACACTTCATTTACCTGATTTAATGTGCTGCAGGTTCATCAGAATGTATGTTGGTCTAATGTTTGTGTGCTGCTACCGGATGCTTGAACTTCCCTCGGGATAAATAATCCGTCTAATAAGGAGATAATGTTAAGTTTTAGGTAATATTTGGTTCACCACTGACGGACTCTGGCTCCGATGTGTCGATGTTCTGGACTCATTTATCTGCAGTTGGAGGAGACGTCCATCTTTTATATGCCAGAAGCTAACGATTAGCTTAGCTTAAAGGTTCAGTGTGTAGGATTTAGTGGATTCTAGTGGTTGACTGCAACTTCCTCGCTTGTGTGTTCACATATCGTGTATTCATGTGTGTGTGTGTGTGTGTGCGTGCAGCTGATGTGGCCAGATGTTTGAACGGCGCCGTGGCGGTCGGCTGCGGATTCTTCTCCTGTCTGGAAAACTCAACCTGCGACACCGACGGGATGCATGAAATCTGCGAGCTCTTCCTGCACACGGCCGCTACCTTCAACACGGAGGTTTGTCCCGTCGTCCTGTCCGTCCACCTGTCTGTCCACCTACCTGTCTGTCTGTCTGTCTGTCTCACCTGTGCCTGTCGCTCTCTACAGGGTAAAACGTTTGTGAAGAAAAGTCTGCACTGCATCTCCCAGGGAATCTCATCGAAGGTTTTCCAAACGATCCGCCGCTGTAACATCTTCCAGAGGATGATCGCAGAGGTCTGTGAAGTAAACAGATGAAATAATCAATAATCAATAATCAATAATCAATAAATCAATCTGAGTGTTTGTCTCGTTAAAAAAAGGTCCAAGAAGAGTGTTACAGCAGTCTGGATATCTGCACTGTGGCCCGAACCAACCCTGACGCCATCGGAGAGGTGGTGCAGGTGCCGACTCACTTCCCCAACAGGTGACCACACACACCTGTCTGTCTCTCAGTGCACCTGTCTGTCTCTCAGTGCACCTGTCTGTCTCTCAGTGCACCTGTCTGTCTCTCAGTGCACCTGTCTGTCTCTCAGTCCACCTGTCTGTCTTCCCAGTTCCAGTCACAAACACAGAAAACAGAATTATAGTAAACAGGAAGCAGCTGACACCGGTGACAATTAACCCTCCCTAAGCCCCGCCCCTTTCCCCTCTGTGCTCCAATCAGAGTTGAGCAAACCTCGGTTAACTTCCTTTCCTGTAGTTAGATATGCTACGTGCTAAGCTAATCTATGTTGAAAATAATTATTTTGAAGAAAGAAAAGATAAAAGAGGCATTTCGTTAGTTAGCTCACGCTACATCCACATCAATCGTTAGCTAGATAATTACATCTAAAACCTGTGAGCAGAGCGCCACCTAGGTAGCTAATCAATCAATCAATCAATCAATCAATCATAAAGATAGTTTGCCTACGTTTTGCTAACATTAGGTTTCAAATTGAACTAGCTAGCTAATGATTGGTTAGTTAGTTCAGTTAGTTTTGCTTTGTAGCAATATTCTAACTAACTAACTAACTATTGACGTCGGAGAGCTAGTTAGCTGTGGTCTGAACAAATACACAAAGATTTTAAAACTTCAACTTTAAAAACACAAATCCACCATAAATAAAATATCTTATTGAATTAAATATGGTAAATAAATTAAATTAAACTTTATTTGACAGTTCAAAGAGCTTCACAGACGACTGACAGCACGAGAATAAAAACGAGATGAAATTGATTAAAAAGACAAAACAAAGATAAAATTAAAATTAGATTTAAAACTACGTGAAAGTCTTCCTGACTCTTAATATAAACTCTCTGACTTCCTGTCGGTGTCCAGGTACTACAGCACTCTGCTGCAGACGCTGCAGGCGTGCGACGAGCAGACGGTGGCGGCGGTGCGGACCGGTCTCGTGGCCCGGTTGGGCCCCGACATGGAGACCTTCCTGCAGCTGGTCCAGAACAAACCCTGCGCCGCCGGCTCCGGCTCCGGATCCACCACCTTCAACAACCCCTCCAGCTGGAGGAACATGCCCGTGTTCAACGTCCAGCCCGGCTTCAGGGGCCGCGACCCGACACACCTGTTCGCCAGGAAGAGGTCCGTGGACAGCGTGGAGGGAGGAGTCAGAGCCCAGAACTAAAACACTGCACACTGATGCTAAGCTACAATCAGTTCCTTCTGTAGAAAAAGCTTTAGATGGTGATTCGGGGTAAATATTATTATTATTATTATTATTATTTGTGTGATTGTCCCACTACTGCTCCACTGAGCAGTCTGTGTTACAGATGTTTGAGGCCTATTACACTGATATTTATTTTCTTAAAGTTAATTTATGAGGCTGTTATATTTAATTAGAGAGCGGGAACGAGGCTGCGGAGGTCAGTAGAAGCTCTCGCGCTGGTCGTGGAGCTCTTCAGGCTCCTGTCGGGGCAGAGATCACTTTATTAGTTTAAATGAGAGGTTACTGTCTGTTTGCTGGTTTGTGTTAGAAATAAAAAAAATGTTATCTGACGGATTTTGGCTCCTGTGATTCTCTCGGTGACGTCAATTTTATAACAAAGATTATAATCGTCACTCGTGGACAAAGCAAATTCTAACTGAAGCTTTCAACCTCATCTGATGGTCTTCATCATCATCAGCAGACAGAAAAGCTCCATCCACTGATGAAGACCATGAGAGGGAAAACAGTAAGCGGACATTGAGCAGCGCACTGTATAAAATAAAGTTAAGAAAACTCTTATTTCAAGGCAACTATCTTCACACAATTTGTGCGTTTTAAGTCAAACTTAGCGACTTTAAATCTTTTGAGAATATTTACTTTTCTTCTTAAGAAAAACTGAAAAATCTTTGTGTTTTAAATGTTATTATTGTTATTATTTATTATATTTAAAAACTGTAAACTGTGAACTGAATGTTTAATTATTTGGGTGTTTGAAAATTGTGGCCAGATTGAAATTGAAGATATTAAATGATCAACAGTTTTTCACCTTAATTTAACAATTGTTTCTAAAACTTAAAGATTCAAGGTTTTCTAAAGAAGAAAAGTTATTAATCATTATTAATTATTATTAGTTTATCTAAAAACTGGTTGACTTTAAATTCTAACAGTTTTCTTAACTGGTGCAGGAATTATTCTGATAAAAACTTAAATAGATAAAGAAATAGTTTTGGCTGATGTCACAGCAGCTTTGTGATTCAGAGAAAGTGAAAATAAAAAAATTCAGAATTAAATTTATTAAAAATCATCAGCAACTTGTTCCAGAGAGAATAAAACACGACTTGGTGACGTACATCTGCTGTGATTGGTTGGTTGAATTTGGTTGAATTTGCTTTAATTGTTGTATCTGGAGGGATTGAACACTATAAAATATATTTAATAGAAATATGTCAAAATAATATCATATAAAACAGAATGATAAGGTATTGTAGTTTTTTATAGTGATGTAAAATGTTTGGTGGTAAATCTTTTATTGTTCTTTTGAAGATGTGTAAGAAATGTGAGCTGATGGAGGCGATGGAGGCTAACCAGGGGGACAGACAGACAGAGGGAGAGATAAACAGACAGACAACAAAAAATGAAAACCAGATTTTTATTTATTTGGCTGTTTCAAAATTAAATAGTTGTAACTGAAAATATTAAATCTTTTACTGTTTTTAACTTTAATTTAACAATTTTTTGAAATACAGATTTTTTTGTTTCTAAAACTTAAAGTTGTTCTTAAAGAAGAAAAGTAATTTATTATTAATTAGTTTAATTATTATTCGTTTATGTCAGAACTGAAGCGTTTGACTTCAAACTCAAACATTTATCGAAGACTTTACTTTAACTTTTCTTTTACAGTGTAGATGTTTCTACTCCCTAAACTACAACTCCCATAATGCCGTTGTGAAGTGTCATTAAGAACTTGCAGTTTGTAGAAGAGCCACCAGGTGGCGTCGGCGTACTTTAATATCTGTTTATACAGTTTGTGACCAGCTGCTGTTTGAAGGTGTAACTGAGTACATTTACTCAAGTACAGTTAACACTTTACTGGAGTATTTCTAATTCTAATGCAGCTGATATTGTAGTTTGCAGATTATTATTGATTAAATTAAACTTTATTGATCGTCGGGGAAAATCAAAATCCAGACTTTTACACTCGATGAGTTTAACTTAAACTGTTTATTAACTCAAACGATTGAAGCATGAAAGATGTTTGATTTGAGTAAAAGTAACTCAAGTATTTATAGTTAAAGTAACTTCAGTAAATTAAGTTAATTGTATTAATTCTATTCAGTTAATTGAAGTTAAACTCTTATGCAGCATTTATCCAAACTTATTTAAAATGTGTGAACAGAATTTATCTGAATAAAGTCAGTTAAATCTTCTTGATATAAATGTTAAATATTACTCAGTTTTCTTCCACTAAAGCAAATTATTACATTACCTGTAAAAACAGCTGACTGACAATAAAAACAATTTATAATTATGCTGCTTTCCATTTGTCTCGTAAACCCCCCGCCCGAGTTGGAAAGTGTAAATCTCGCAGCTATCTCGCGATATTTCACCAAGACACACCCCCTTTTGGTCGTAATATCAGTCGTCCCACTCGGGGCTCCTCAGAGCTCACCGAGCTGAACGAGGACGAACGTACAAACAAAGATGGTTGCGCCCATATTGAGATGTATTTTCTTTGTATTTGTGCTACGTTGGTCTTTTTAATGTAGATTTTAAATGCTCTTACACACTGTTTACATTGCTGCTTTAGTCCGGTCACCAGTTTATGCATTGCACGGTGTTGTTGTGCTGCAATACAATGTAAAGTTTTGTTTTCGAGCTGGTTTGCTAAATAGGCTAATGTAGCTAACAATAACACTAGCCTGCCCCTGGTGGCCCCTGGAGGCCCCTGGTGGCCCCTGGAGGCCCCTGGTGGCTCGAGACAAACGCCACAGCACTTGTTGAAATTGAAATAGGCGAAAATGGGGAAATATTATTGAAATGTAAGACTTGCAATAACAGAATTACTTGAAATGTTTGTGTTTGTGTAGAAAAACATTATTATTTCACATTGAGCTTGCGGGGGATTTACGAGACAAATGGATAGCACCATTAACTGATTCAATTTTCTGTGTTTTTCGAATCTTCACACTTTGGGATCATTAATAATTATTCAGATGCATATTTAACACCAAATTATAATATAGGCTCACTCAAAACAACTGAGTTGCTTCAACAATTTATTCTTTAGGATTAATTTCAGTTAACTTTTATTAAGATGTGCTGTGAGGTTCAGTTAGATTTCTACAGGAGTTTAACTAAAGTAAACAGTTTGTTCTGGCTGCAGACTGTAAATAACTCCTCAGTGTTTGCTCTCACTCAGCCATCTGTCACACAAAGGAAAGACTCCTCACCCTCAGCGTTACGGCCCATTAACCTCCATCAGGAGGGGTGAGGAAGACGACCTCCCCCCTCTCTCTACAACCCGGGGAGGAGGTGTCGGTTAACAGCCCTCATCTCTGTTTGCTGAAGGTTTCTGAATCTGTGGGGAGGCAAATAACTAACTTTACTAACACTAAACACAAGTTACAAAGGGAGCTAATAAAGAAAACTACAGCAGTCAGTGTTTATAAATCAGCAGTAACTACACAATGGCATCATGGGAGTTGTTGTCTTCTTTCTAAATTTAAAAAATAAAAAATTTTTAAGTTAATATATATATATTTTTTTTTATATCTAAGTAGACAATGTTAGCAAAATCATTACACAAAAAAAAGCACACTGACTCTCTGTGAGTAAACCTGCTATATATATAAGATCTCGTGTACAGGTGAGTTTGAGGTTTTGAGAGTTTCTCTGCAGGATCTTTTCCTGAATCAAACTTTGTCTGGATCAGATTCAGAGTTTGAGGGAAGCCAGAGATCTCTGAGGGGGAAGTGGATGATATTTCTGCAGCAAACAGGAAGGAGACGGACGAGGAGACGCTAGCGGCTCTTCACACTGATTCAATTTAGTGTGTAACAGAATACACAGCGGTTGTATATCCGTACAGTCGGCCAGAGGCGGTGAGATGATGTATGCAGCCTCCCGCCTTATGTACGACGTTTCCTCCCATGTTTCCTCTCTGAGGGCAGGAACTGAACACAACCAGTGTGTGATAGATGGCCCCGAACCCGCCTCGCTACCCACAATTCATCTCTTTCTGTCCAACACACACACACACACACACACACACATTCAACCAGTGGAGGACTGGGACTCGTGTGTTATAAACATGTAGGACTACAGTACCGAATGTAGGAGTATTTAACACTTAATGTCTGCAGCTGATCCAGGGAGCAGATGTTATATGAATGCAGGTTATACACAATATTCTTTATTCCTCTCTTCATCTACTCATGAAACCTGGTTTCCTTGCCCTTGTCTCCAAGGTCTTGCTCATGGTGGTACTGTTGGGTCTCTGTAAATGTTATAAAGAGTTCGGTCTAGACCTGCTCTATTTGAAAAGATAACCTCTGTTATGAATTGGCGCTATACAAATACAATTGGATTGAATTGGTTACGTGATGCCTTTACTATCCTGGGAAATGTAGCACTGATACCTGCATATACTCTGCAGTACACCGCTCATGTGCTAAGCTAATCTATGTTAAAAACACAAACACATCCTGGAGATGGTTAAAAGATAAAAGCAACAAATATATACCGTAAAACTTCTAATTATAGCCCGGGCGTTTATTTGCTTAAATCACTGAACTCCCCCTGCCTTTATTTGGGACAGGCCTTTATTTGGGACCGGCCTTTAATTCCTTTAGCACAAAACTAAACTAAACTCTAACTGCTGCTTCTCTTGAGATTTGTTCAGCAAATTTGACAACTAACATGATGATTATGATGCTTCAGAGGTTTTTTTCCCGTCTCTCTTGTTTACCGTGTTAACGGTAAGTCAGAATGAATTAACGTTATACTTTGTTGTTGATCATTTTCATAAAATCTAGTGAAAGATTGAATTGTGGAGAATAACTGATCTAATGATGTTCATTCTGTACATACTGACAGAAGTTTAAACATTTATATTTGTGTAGGAGATTGAAACACTCAGGCGACCCGGTGGGTTTAAAGAGGTTTTATACATCGAGATAATTTCTATAAAATCCAGACCAGGCCTCTATTGGAGACCTGCGTTTATTTGTCACAGTGTGTAGCCACACCAGGCTTTTAAAGGAGACCTGCGTCTATTAGGGACCCTGCTCCCTAGTGACATCAGAAAGCTGTGAGCGAAACACTAGTTACATAACATTAGGTAGTTAATCTAAATCAATCGTAAAGCTAACTTAAGATGTGACAATATATGTCTAGCTAACTAGCTAACGACTGATGTACATTAACTAGCATTTTTGTTAACATTAGCTTTCTGATGTTACTAGCTAACTAACAATTTGCTGTGACTATAAATGTCCATATAAAATAATAATAATAGTTAATTACATTAATCACATTTGGTCCATTGAATCACAACAACTGCAGTAAATATTCCAAAGTGTTTTTAATAATACTGTTAATCATTTAAAACATTCAACTAGAAGCATGTTCCGTAATCAGCGGGAGGAATAAGTGCAATGTTGGACTGTAACACTGGCAGACATCTTTTCTTTGGCAACATTACTGCGGAGGACCAAACCTCACTGACAAACACATTAATATTAGTGGGAAATAAATACATGAATGAGAACTTAAATAAATCTATAAATGAGTAAATATTATTTCTGAAGGAGTTAAAAATAAAAAGTGAAATGTTACACATTTATAGATTTATTTATTATATTCAATCAGTTATTATTTTAGTATCTATTGCTCCCTTTATACGTCATATTTCTTCCATATAGCACAAACTATTATTTACAGTATTCACACAGAGAGCATTATTATTAATGCAGAGCCGCTCTCAGTCCTCAGTCAGTGGGTGGACTCAGTCTTTACACCCGGTATGAGCGAGCGGCTTCCTGAGGCCTTTGCTGGGGAGTCCAGCTCAGTCCAGCTGTTCTTCACATCAGGCTGCTGCTGCTGCTGCTGATAGACGGCGGTTCTGAGCTCCTCCGTCCGGCCCGGGCCTCGTCTGGGACCGCCGCCGCGCCCGCCGCCCCACGCAGCACAGGAAGCGGGATGAAGGTGATCCAGGAAGGGGAAGAGGTCCCAGAACGCCTATGTGGAGCAGGAATGAGACGCCACTGTAGAATACTGGACCAGAGGAACGGAGAGGTCCAGGTACTCCTGAGGAGATACAATACAGATCATCTTTATTGATTATATTGATTAGTATACACTGTATCTTTATGGATGATATTGATCAGTATACACTGTATCTTTATGGATGATATTGATCAGTATACACTGTATCTTTATTTATTATATTGATCAGTATACACTGTATCTTTATTGATTATATTGATCAGTATACACTGTATCTTTATTGATTATATTGATCAGTATACACTGTATCTTTATGGATGATATTGATCAGTATACACTGTATCTTTATGGATGATATTGATCAGTATACACTGTATCTTTATGGATGATATTGATCAGTATACACTGTATCTTTATGGATGATATTGATCCTGTATTGACAGTCAGACTGTGGACATATGACGGCCTTTAGCTCGTGTTTCTAGAGTTACGTGTTGTTACGAACACGTTAGGAATTGTTAAAATGTGATATTTCTTAAAGGGAGTTTGGTGCAGGGAGCTTTTAGTTGGATTCAAACTGCTGATATGGATCATTGTTAACGTTTAGTCTCCACTACAGAAACACTAGCTAACTGCTGAAGGCTGATCAGGTTGATTGATGCTTTAATAATGAGAGTATTGATTACTGATTGATCAGGATCATTATCAGCTGACTGTACTCTGTTTCTGCTTGTTTTTCCTAAGTTTAAAAGAGTGTGTAATTTCCCACTGTCCTTGAAAGCTTCAGCCCTTTTATTGCTACAGAATAAAATTGTCTGAATAGATGATGAGATATTGTAAAGTTTGGTGAAATCAGCTGATGGATAATAGGTGAAACTTTACCTGGTTAGCCATGAGAGAAAGCGTGCGGTCTAAATCTTCCACCAGCTGTTGGAAGGTCGGCCGGCGAGACGGGACGGCGTGCCAGCAGTCTCTCATCATCAGATACCTGAGGAGACACACAGTGTTCAGCCCTCTTCACACACATTCGCTCATCTGCTTCACATTGTTTGTCATTAAATGTTCTTTACAAGTGTTCCCTTCTTCTCGTTCTTTCTCGTTAATTTCATATTTTATTACGTGAACTCGAACCGGCGTGCACTCACAGCTCCTGCGTGCACGCGGAGGGTTTCTCCATGCGATGTCCCTCCTTCAGCAGCTTGAAGAGCTCCTCCACGGGGACGCCGGGGTAAGGAGACCCCCCGAGGGTGAAGATTTCCCACAGCAGGACCCCGAATGACCACCTGCAGCAGCGGCAAACACAGAAACATTAAAAAGACCTTCTCAGACACGAAATATGGAAAATTACTGACTTCCTTTATCTGTTGCAGTGAGGTGTGTTTGTCTCCAGAGGGATCTTACTGTCTATCATTACTTTATTTATATATTTCCATTTTATTTCAACCTTATTGTTTAATGGTTTAATGCTTCCTTCAGGGATAAATTAGTTTATATTGAGTTTCTAAGATGGTACTGCATCATGATCCTTATGTAAGAGTCACAATAGTTTTTTAAATGTGACTTTTTCTCTCAAAAAATCACATTTTGTGTGTATACATTACTTTATAGTCTAATTTAAGCTCATCACAGTGTTTCAAGCTTAATTACATGTTTTTCTTCCACAATAAGTTACTTAAAGAAAATAATTGTTGAAACAGATTATTTAAAGTAACACAAAGTCAATTTTATAAGTTAGAAAACCTGATTAATAACTTATTTTGATTTCACAGTACAAATAAAAATGATGAATTGAAAAAAAATTTAATTAATTACAATTAGTAAAGATCAAGAATATTTTTAACCTACAAAATTAAGTTTCTGTTAAATTTTGATGAAATCAGTTTTAACCTTTATTTTGAGTTAAATTAACTTATCTGGTTTCACAGTGTGTGCATTAAAGATAATTTATTTGGAGCTGAAAATACAATCAATCAGCTATTTTCATAAATTTTCAAGCATAATTTCCCTTCCAGTTTTTATTTTGAGTTTCTGTTTCTGTTTAATCTTTGGGGTTTTGGATTGAAATAACACAATCACAGAAAAGTCTTTAAAATTCAAACTCACACGTCGCTTTGGTGCGTATAAACGCGGTCGAATAAAGCTTCTGGTGCCATCCACTTCACCGGCAGACGACCCTGCAGGAACATTCAAACGTCAGAACACCGCCCCCCATAAAATCCTCCTGATGTTTGTCTGTTAAAGGTTCTTACGTTCGTGGTCTTCTTGTAGTAGTCGATGTGGTGGATATCTCGGGCCAGACCGAAGTCGGCGATCTTCATCACGTTATCCTCGGTGACCAACACGTTCCTGGCTGCCAGGTCTCTGTGAATACACTGCACGGCAGAGAGACAGAGAGAGAGAGAGAGAGAGAGACGGGTTTACAAAACAACCACTAGGGGTCGTCTGACACGCTGTTCTCAGGGCTGACAGAATCCAACATGAACTGACCTTCTTCGACGCCAGGTACGCCATTCCTCTGGCCACCTGGTACGCAGCAGACACCAGCTCCCTGATCTCCAGACTGCCCAGAGAGACCTGCCGGGAGCCGCTCCAGTACTCCAACCCGACCGGGCGACGGGTGCGCAGGTACTCCCTCAGGTTGCCCTGCGAGGCGTACTCCACCACCACGTACAGAGGGCCTAGAGGTCAAAGTGTCACCTTTAACTTCTTAAACTAAAACACATCACCGCCGATACACATCACACACAGCGCGCACACTCACCGTCCTGAGTGCAGGCGCCCAGCAGGTTGATGATGTTCTTGTGTTTGCCGATCATCTTCATCATTTCCATCTCAGAGATCAGGTCAGACAGGTCCTTCTCTGTGGCGTCCGCTGCGAACAAGTTCAGATAACATTAAAGGCTCTGTTTACACCTGGTGGACAGCTGAGTACATGCTGATGTGTAAAAAGGTATTAATATTCTTATTCAGACCACATGTGTGTACACAAAGAGTTCTGGTCCACACTGAAGGACCACCTACTCAACTGACATCCTGTAAGTACACAGAACACTGTCTGATTTCCATTTGGTGTATATTATGTGTTTGGACTGCAAAGATAAATAAAGTAAAGTAACCACAGCATCTCCAGGAGAAACTTTATTTACTTTGTGAATTGTGGTTTCTGATAAATTCATATTAATTTGGACCCTCTTGTAAATTCGGCAAACGTTACACATTAATTAATTTATTGATTTGTGTTAAAAACATTGTGTCTGTTTGTCCAGCGTGTTGGTTGGAGAGCAGAGTTTAGTTCTCACCTTTGAGCATCTTCACAGCCACCTTCGTGAGGCGTGTGGGTTTATTTTTGTCGACGCCGATGGCCTCCGCCAGAACCACCTGACCAAAGCAGCCTTCACCCAGAGGCTTCCCCAGAGTCAGCCTGAGGACAGCAGACACATCAGCATACAGATCGCTTTAACTGTACATGTTACAGATGATCACTGCAGTTAATGCACCTTCCTGTATGAGTTTAATGTTTGAACTGAAACTGTCGATACAAACCACGTGGAGGAGAAATGTGACACTTTTGTCCTTGACTGAGACGTTACTAAGTGAGTCAGACTGAAGAGAGACAGCTCGCTCAGGTAGCACTGAAACTAAAATACGATCCAGGTGTTTTCACAGATGTCGTGCTATTGTGCTAGTTTGGTTTTACAACAGACACACTTTCATTAAGTTTCTGCCTGAAATGATCACAAACTCTGGACACACTGTTGTTTTCTCTGTCTTCTCTTCGCTGTGCTAAACAAAAACTATGAAGGATAAAAAAGAGCTGCCATAATAACCACCGTACAAAGGTTTATAAAATGTATCTTACATCTGATCTGTTGTCATGACAATTTGAAGGTGAGCTGTAGAAATACAGCGTCCACGTTACAAACCAGGAATGTGGTTTTTCTTTTTATGTGACCTCATGTCAAACAATGTTGCATCAAAAGTCGCCGTTCTGTATTTTAAGACAGCAGAAGGCCGAGGATGGCCACACAAGTAGGAATGAAATTAGAAGCTGTCAGAAAGCGTTGTGTGGGTTTTTTCACTTTTATAGCCTTGGTAGACGGATATAATTGATGACGAGGTTCCACAAGGTAACAGCAGAAGACAGGACTAAATAAAGGGTGTAGGCAGACTGCAGTAAGTCAAAAGGCTCAATAAACGGAGGAAGTGAGGAGAAAAGTGTGAAAGCAGCTGAAGAAGCCGGAGCAGAAGAGCAGTGAGACGGGTTGCTGTCGTACCTGTCTCGTGGCAGCTCCCAGACGGGATCGTAGGGAAGTTCATACTCCGACACTCCTGCCAGGATGGTGGTGGCCGCGCTGGAGAGACGAGACTGGCGCATCAAACACATCCCGGACTGATGGGAGGACGAGGACTCGACGGACACCTGCAGGGTCAGAGTTCTTATTATTATATAACTTTATGTGTTTCATTGACTCGGAAGAGATCCCAGGTTAACAGAAAGTTAAGAGACCAAACAGGAAATGGAACAAAGAAGGGAAACAGAGCCGTTACCTGTCTCCTCAGAGGGATGCTCTTGGCTAGCTTCTGGACAGCTAACTGGCTGTTGAAATCGCTCTTCTTTGGGGCGCAGCAGAGTCTGCAGATGACCGCTGTGGCCATGAGGATGATGATGATGATAAACCCGAGGCAGTAGATGAAGATCTCCAAGTACGTCTGAGAGGGCAGCGGGGCGGGGGGCAGGTCTGGGGGGAGAGACGTTAGAGCACAAACATCAGCAGACGGTCGAACCATCAGCGTCGCCGCTTTAACTTTGGTTTCTGAACATCGCAACGTACCGTCGACCACGTTGAGCCACGCAGAGTGATGAGACACCCCGATGGAGTTTCCCGCCAGGCAGGTGTACTCTCCAGCATCGTTCAGAGTTACGTTCCTCAGAGTCAAAACCTCCATTTCTTTATCTGTTGTGTTCAAACCTGCAGTCTGTAAAACAAGAGAGAAATGAAATGTAAGTTAAAGAAATGTGTTGAGTTAAGAGATAAGTTTTAGTTTTATGAACAATCCCAAGAAAAGATTAAAACCAGCAGCGTGTTAGTGCGTCTTAACATAAGGTTAAGTTTCACGTTCTACGACATAAAATAGGTCAGTAAATACGAGATAATCAGACGATTATCAGACACATGCACACAGAGCTGTCAGTGTAGCTGCTGTAGAACCGTGTTAGTGAGCTTTGGGACGGTGATGGAAAAGTTTAATGCCCTGTACTGTAACTCCATAACATGTAAACATACAGTATGACTTCTCTTTGTTTTGATCGGCAGGCTGGCTTTTTTAAATATCAGCATCAGCCTTTGAAAAAGTCATATCGGTCTAAGTATGAACACAATTGTCTTCTTGTGTTTGATTAACTCAATGAATCCAGATTCTTTTGGTTTTATTTTTGCTTCTCGTACTGCAGTGAAAGATCAGGTATATACATACCGTCAATGGTTGCACTGCTCACAAAGTACATGGTGGAAATACAGTTGTGCCTCCCTAAATTGATCAATACTTGGTGGCATTAACAAGCAAAGAAGTGCAACAAAGCGCCAACAAAGTCAAAGAAGAAGATCACAAAAATATTTAGAGAATCCAAGAATCAGCGTTCAGATAAAGGATAAACACAATGAGTTCTTCCACAAATTAAATTAAATCCTGGTGTTAGATGGTCGAGAAGATAAATAATCTAAGTATATAAACTATGTGCAGCTGTTCATAACATAAGCAGAAGTTAGATGGTAGAAAGTGAACATTAAAAGAGCTCCCAGTTCAGATTCTGGCGCCGCGGAGATTCTTGAGCTTAATTGCAGGTAACTGGTTTGGTGCTCTGACTGGTGACATTTATGGTTAAGAAATGAGTAAATAACTGAGATTCAGTTTTCTTTATCAGCAGACTTTCATTGTGTTGAAGAACATAATAATACGAGCACTGAGTCTGGCTACAGGCCAGACACAACAAACCGCTCTGTCTTTCATCAGGAGTCCACAATTCATCACAGATGTGGTTTTACTCTGTCAGAGAGAAACGAAACCAGAGTCGTGCAACAAAGAGACGGATTCAACCACCGGGAGTGAGGGTTGTTACAAATACAGTCTTATGTCACTGAATCACACCTCTTACATGTATCTTCACATGCTGCTGCTATAAAAATCTGGTTACTGAAGAAAAAGGTTTTCACATTCTAGTTTAAAATGTATTGTTACCACATTTTCAAATAATAAATAATAAATAATAATCTCTGCAGCCACTATACATCCACTTAAAAAGAGCAACTAAACCCTCAAAAACATTGATTGTTGATTGATTGATTATTAGTATAGTATTGGAATTCCACATATATATTTTGCAATAACAATTCACTCTCAACTTTAGGTTCTTATTGCATTAGAAGCTAAATTGGTCCATTAATCCTTTAATCCCCGATAATGGACACCACGTTACGTTGTGCTGTAACGAGGCTCAGTGTGAACTCAAGAACACACAAACCTTGAGAATGAGGACGTATGGGTGTCCATCCGGTCCCTCTCTGCTGCCGTTGACGGTGATGTGTTTGAGCCACTGGATGTGAGGCTGCGGGTCGCTGAACACGCGACACACAAACGCTACGTCACTGCCAACCACTGCGGTTTGGTTCGCCGGCAGACCGGCCTGCAGGATCGGTCTGTGAGGAGAACGCTCTGGAACAGAGAGTTTAAACAATGTAAGAGGTCACCAGCAACACATTCATTTATCATCAGTAGACCACAGTAAACCACATCGCCCTCCGTACATCTGTGTCTCATCCATAAAACAGCTTTTTGTATAAACGTGTGAAAACTGAGCAAAAAAGAACGTAAAACGATTTAATCCTTTAGGGCTTATTGTGGGTTTTCCTGTTTTTTAGGAGCCGGTTGCACCAACAGGGATTAAGCCTTCTTCTCACTAAGAGTAAAGTCAAAATCCAGCCTGTTTCTATAGTAACAACTGATAACACAATGGTGTTTTCTGGATTGTCTTTTCTTGCCGTGCTAAGGTTGCCCGAGTCGGAACAATCATTTATCGCCTCTGTTATCGCTCTCCATTGATGTCTGTGAAATTTAGCTTTCTTTTTCTTTTGTTGCAACAAATTAGAAATGTTTAGCTATAAATGAGCTAAACAGCGAGAGATTGTTATAACAATGTACGACTTTGGGCAGCAGCCACAGTCATGTGCATTGCTAATAGCGGACATAGTTAAGACTAGGTTTAAGTAAAGTCTTACAAAGCAGTTAGGACCGGCTTATTAAAGACCAGTTGGTGTTTGAGTGTCGATTGCGTCGTCTTATTGTGGGTGCAGTGATTTCCTTACCAACTACATCCAGCAGGTAGGTGTGTTTGAGACTCCCATATTCATTCTCCACCACACAGGTGTAGTTCCCTTTATCCGACGGGACCACTGACTCCATTATTAGTGTCCACATGTGGTCTCTGATCTGCGGGGTTGAGGATAAGAAATCAAATGAAAACAACTGGTTGGACCTGTGTCTGTTCTCTCTGTGCAGGAACGGTGAGAAACAAACCTTGAACCCTCCGATTCTTTGGTCCTTCCTGAACTCTTTCCCGTTCTTGTACCAGCGCAGGGAGGGAACTGGGTTTCCCATCGCCTGGCATCGAAACTTCACAGTCCTGCTGGCTGGTACGGCGTGAAGCTGCTTCTCCATCTTCTCTGGCATTACCCACTGCGGCGCCAACGCTAACGAGGTAAACACAGTGATTACAATGATTTGTGTTTGCACTGATTTATGTTTTCCACACACTAACAGAAGAGAGAACAAAGGTTCGAGACTTACGCTGGAGCTTCTCGTTGCTTGTTGACAGCTCGTTGGACAGTTTGTTTTCCTCCGAGGATGACTCATCGTCTTCTTCGTCTTCAGAGGATTTCACTGCGTCGGCTGCAAAGGAAGAAGTCGGAGGTTTAAAAGCTGATGTGTGTTAGAGGCCGACAGACAATGAAACCAGTCTGTGGATTAACCTCTGACCTCTGACCCCGGCTCTGTGAAAGGGGGTCGCAGCGAATGAGGGCAGACGGGAGCTGTCGCCACTGAACAGTCCTGCACAAAACCCACTTCCGAAACTTCAGAGACCTCCCTCCCGTCTCCCCCGACCATTAACAGCAAACAACATACATCCCTGCAGTCTCTCTCTGCTGTACGACAGCTAATGGACCCCCCCCTCAGAGCCACTCATACATCCTTTGATCCTCTCTGACTCAGAGGAAAACTTCAATACTTCCTCCTGTAATATCTTCAAACAATAAAACAATGTTATAACAACTGCCTCCATCATCACTGATCTCTATAAACACATATCTGCACGGCTCCTTTTTATTCTCCCGGATGGGAAACTTCTTTGCAGTCAAAAAAAAAAAAGTACCAAAAACACAAAAATAATTCCTGTACATACAATAAACAATAAACTGTAATACAATAACAACAATACAAAAACATTTCATTCAGGAGGCTAAAACTATGTGCAAATAAGATTTAAACATGCAGGTAAACAGTCTATGTGCTGTGTAATCTTGGATCGGCTGTTGTAGAGAATGTATCTGCCTTCATATGCAGATATAAAACTGCTGAACTCTAATAATATTTAATAATGTAAAGTGCAATAAATACACCAGCACTTTAATCTCTTTTCAAGCCGCCATATTGTCAGTGTTGAAAGTAAAATTGCCTCTTTGATGCTTTAAAGGCTCAGTGTGCAGGATTTAGTGACATCCAGCACTTTCTAACTAACAGATGTATCCACTGCATTTGTGCAAGGAAGTTTATAAAACAAGCGATTAAATGAATTTTGAGCATTTCTTTGAGAATGTTTTCTGTAAATATTGATCAGAGATACAATTCTCTGTCTGTATTTTTTTTATTTTAAACAGTCACTATCTGAACAAACAAACTCATTTCGTCTTCTTCAAGAACTGAACAAAATGCAGAGATAAAGGCCTACAGCTCTTATTATTAACATTTTCTTACACCTCTTAAAATCAAAAAGGTGTTGCCCCCCGTGAGGCTTTGGTGACCCCTAGTAGGGGTCCAGACCCTCAGGATGGGAACCACCGCCCTAAGCAACCTTCCTCCATGATAACTGTGTTTGTGGAGAATAGAAAAACCGACGCAGTGAGACATATGTGAAGCTAAATCCCTGTAAAACCTCAAATGTGCAGCTTCTGTTAAACACATCAAACAGTTTATAAAAAGATCAGTGTGCCGGTCGGACTCGTCGGCTTTTAGGGATGCTCTTTTACAAGAAGTGAGTAAAGTTCACGGCACTTCCAGGAACATTGAACTGGTTTTCTCCTCAGAGTCAGAAGGCAGAGAGCGTGCAGGAGGGAAGTGGTTCGATCTGAGGGAATACGACAGAGCGAGGTGGGAAATTGAAAGCAGGCTTTGTTTATGAACAGCAGAGAGGCTGAATCTGAGAGAAAAACAAGAATTTACGGGCTCAGAAACAACAGTATCACATAGACTCAGCTGGAGTCCAGATGGTTGGAGCCAAAAAGACAAGAAGGTATATACATGTGCACACAAGCACAAATACTGGTTCCTGAAAGAGGTTTCTGTCTGAGAGACTGTGTGCATCTGTTCCCGTGTTACTGTGTCTGGACAGGATATACAGACCATAACCAGCACCCTGAGAGCCAAGCCTCGGTTACACCATGAAGAATCACTTTAACCAGTTTCAGATGCCTCGGAGCCAAAAACAGCCAAAACCTTGAGTAAAGTCAGTCTCCTATTAAAGAAATTCGCTCATTGGAAAGTTTTATAAGCTTTTATATAAGTTGGAGTCTAAAACGCAGCGGCCGCAGACATGAAAGAGCCCTCAGACAAAAGAGAGGAGGAAACAACAGAGCGGTTAAAAACAGGCTGAAAAACACGATTTAACATTCGTCTGCAGAAAGACTGAAAGATGAAATGTTTATATTCAGATAATCAGTGGAAAAAGTGACGTTTTCTGTTAGTTTTAGAGCTTAATCAGCAGCTATTCTGATAATCAATTAAATAAAAGCCAGTTTTCTAGCCGGTTCAAACATTTTAGATACCGATACCTTGACTTCAATACAGGTTCCTGGACGATACCAATTTTATAAAATGAGTTACTAACTTCAAAGGAGGAGGTTGTTCAAAGGCCTGGAGCAGCTGGATAAACAGTTCTTACTGAATATCTGCACAGTGTTGGACTATATAAAACCTATAAATAACTGTCAAAGGAATACTAATAACAAACAGTGTGGCAGCAATATGTTTAGTCTGATCCAGATCAGAAGGAGAAGAAGGGAATGACTGTTTATGGTGCTAAGGAATAGTGTCAGAGTGAGACCTCTCTGTGTTAGAGACCAGCTACCAACAGCTGTAAACAACGCCACGCCGTCTTAAACATGTTTTGATACTCAGTAGTGTTGCTGCAATTGAGTTGATGTTCACGTTGGGTCTCTGTAAATCATTTTATAAAGAGTACGGTCTGTTTGAAAAGTGTCCCGAGATAACCTTTGTGATGAATTGGTGCTATACAAATAAAATTGATAAAGTGAGCAGCAACGGATGTTTACACCGAAATGGGGCTGTTATCACCAACCTATCAGCTGCTCCATCTTTCTCTGATTGACAGTCCAACAAAGGCTCCTTAAACACATCTGCCTACTGAATTCATATTGATAAGATATATATATATATAATAAAAAGATGTATAGATAATGTTGTGTATGTTGTGTTTCAGGATCAAATCTGCTCTATGAGCCTCTTGGACTTTAAGTTTGAGCTGAAATATTGATCAGAAAAAACACATTTAGACATTTACTCAAATGGTTGAGTTCTCCTGAACAGAGACATCTGTTAGGTATCTTACCTGTGTCTGTGTCCTCTGTGGCCGGTCTGGACTGAGCCCGAGGAAACTGGACCAGCAGAACCAGCAGGATGCAGAACAGCAGCAGCTGGAAGCAGCGGGGGGACGACATCATGTCCTAACACATCAACTTACTGAGACTTCCAGACCGCGAACTCACTGCAGAGAGAGACGATAAAGTCAGATTCACAAGAAGACGAGACGCTCGTGATCCTGATTACGACACTGATTTCTTCTCTTTAAGGCAGAAAGCAGTTAATGTTCATTTCACTAAGGCAGGCCAAACACAGCGCACAATGTGGATTCATCCACCGCTAAAAATAGTCCCCTGCCAAAGACTTCTAAGGATATTAAATTCACTATCGAGCAAAGCAGGAACTCAACTGCACAGCGGCAGCTCCTAAATGTGTGAATATGAAGATCAGCTGATGGACTGAAATCTGGTTTATTGTGTTAAATAAAGAGTCGGATGGTTGTGCTCTCTCCAGTGGAGTCGACACATTACATTAAACAATATAACAGAAAGAAATCTGAAAATCGCTCTGACTTTATATAATTTTGTGATGTTGTGACAAACTGCAGAGATCATCAATATGTTTCATAATCAATCGTTGCTGTTTGGACAAAATAAGCAAGAAGAAATTTAAAGAAATTGTGGATTTGAATGAAAAACTGAGATATAGCTCTACTGTGTATATTTTCTCAGTTCTCCTACAACCCCCTAAAATCAAGAAGGCCTCACGACCCCCCATGAAGCTTTGGCGACCCCTAGTGGACCAAACAATTATCAGAATAATTATCTATACATGAGTTAGAGCCCTTCTCCTAAACCTCAAGTGTCCTTGAACGCCCCAACAGAGAGCTGGCTTTACCTGGTGATTAATTAATTAACGACAACAGAATAGTTGCTGCTGTTGAACGGGCCCCAGTGGCTGCTGGGAGACTGTCAGCAGGATCCTCCCAGGGCTTTCTGGCTGCTCGCACTGTGGCAGCTGTCTCAGAGGTGAAGATGTGGTGATTTGGACCAATAAACCACCGACACCCAGACCCCCCCCCCCACAGCTCACCTGTGAATACTAAATCCATCAGGTGTGAAACAACAACGCGGTGTGGCAGTGACTCACACAGACACACAGATGTTCGCTGCCTGACACCATTTGCTGCATGTGTCACCAGGAAGGTGTGAGACCCAAACTGGTAAACACGTGAACGCTGTACGGCAGCTGAGGAGGGACAAACACAGCCTGACTGACACTGATTACCCAAATAGAATCACTGAAAGAGGGTTCGGGACATGTTATTCAGACTAATCCATAAATTCTTTGACTTTAAATATTAGAAAATGGCGGCTTCAAATGCCCAAAGATATTCAGGAGCAGCAAATCCTCCATCAGAGGAGCTGGAATCAGTTTGTACTTCAAACAGCATCAGAGCTTCTGATGAGTTAGTTCAACTCAAACTGTTTGAGGAAACCGACTTAAACCATTTAAGTTTATTTAACTCAAACAATTTAGGCAAGAAAGATATTTGATCTGAGTAAAAGTAACTCAGGTTTTTACTGTTAAGGTAACGTTACTCTCATATGCAGCATTTCTCTAAACTTATTTAAAATAAAACTGAATTTATCTGAATATCTTCTCTGTGATGGTCTCATACAGAAGCATCAGTACTGACACATTAACAGGATTTTAACATTAACAGGTTTCCACTGTTATAAATAAGGAATAAAGTCCGATAACGTCTCTATAATCAGAAATTAATGGACGTCGCAGAAGCGTCTGTCGTACAGCGAAGGGCATCATCATCATCACATTATTTCACATTTTCATACGTTTTTTACAAGCCATCACTCCGTTTCCATGGTAACAGCTGAGGTCTGGAAGAATCATCACCATCCCATAATGTTCTAATGCAATGGAGACGTTGTTTCATTGCTCCAGTAAATAGGACGAACCAGAAATACGACTTCAGAGAGCTAACGTTAAACTCAACAGGACAAACAGTAAATCTGCAGCTATCAGCCGGGTCTTTGTCCCCGAATCAATACCAACGACGGGACGAGTACTGACGGCCGCAGACAGTTTCACTGGAACTATTTAGTATGTGTCACACATCAGGAATCCCTCCCAGCAGCCAATCAGAATCCAGTATCCACCCAGACCAATGATGTACACATAATCAATAATGAATTTCATTAAGTGCAGATCATTTATATTCTATCGGGGCTTCCTGGAGTGTTTGCTTCAGTCTCTAGAGAACAACTCAGTCTGAACTTTGAAGGAGAATTAAAGGACATTAAAGATCAGCCTCATAAACAAGATGGCCTCCGGTTGGCTGCCGTCACCGAGCCCTGAGACGTCACCGAGGACAGCGACACACCGAGTCTGTCGTCCAGCTCCCAGCAGAGCGTGTGGTTGAGGGCGGCGGCCCCGAGTGCGAGGAGCGTGCCAGGTTTATGAAGACATAATTAATACGTTACACACACACACATATGGAGCACACGCCTGGACGCCGGCGGCCTCTTAAATTAATGAAGATGTTTGTGAGCGTTAAAGAGTTTTATGTGCCGCACACACAGCCAGCAAACACATCCTTCAAAATAAAAGCTGCTCAGATCCACTCAGAGCTGCATCTGAATCGACACTGTGAAACCTGACAGATCACAGTCGGGATACGTATCACGATACAGGAGCTACGATTCAATATCCAAAACAATCTGAATCAAATCTCTGTTACATTCATCATCACAGCTGTTCGAGGTTCAATCAATCAGATCGATACAATATCAGGACACAAAATATCACAATACAATATTTTTCTATATTTTGTTGAACCTCACATTTGACATTTTACTGCATTGTGTCCTTTACTTTTATTACTGCCAATGCAACTTTCAATGAAGCATCATTTTCTGCATTATTTACTTTTACTTTTGATACTTCCAGCACATTTTACTTATAATATTTACACACTGTTACTGAGGTACCATCTATAATGCAGGATTTTACTT